GGGGGGGGGGGGGGAGATTTAATTGGGTTTGTGAGAAATTAAGACAGGCAGTCCATTTCAACTCAGCAAAACAAAGAAGAGTCCAATAACAAATGCATTGTGAGAAAAAATGCTCTAGATGCCTGAAATTGTATTAATGTTGCTCATTCTCACACATAAACACAAATATGTATTAAGGTAGTTTGTAAACATAAGATACAGTTTTGTGCCTGTGACAGCTATATGCAGAAGCAAATGTAGCAATCAATGACAATAATAATGTCTTTCTTACTATGCTAATCTGATGCCAAAAAGAGGACAACCATTTTCCATAGTAGGAAAGATAATTCCCACCAAATAAATTCTGGTTTAGCTCTTTTGCACTGCAGCCTCCCTTTAGAACCTTTTTGCTGAAGTACAGTGACTTTGAGTTGAACAAAGAAATATCCTGGGAGCCTGAGATTGCCTCCCACTGATTTCTCAATGTTGCTATTTTGATATTAGATTTATGCACATCTCTTCTTCTGTACAGTGACTGTTGGAGTGAACAGTCTAGTAAACAGAAACTCAGGTTTCTAAAGACTTCAAACACTTTTTCTTTTATGTTTATGTATAATTTAAATACTTAGATTTTCCACTTCTGACAATTGGCAATGCTATATCTCGTAGACAGGAAAAACATGTAAACAATATTTTAAAGACGATTTTATTAGAATTTCACAATAAAATATTGTGGTTTCCATAAAGCTCTGTAGGTCAGTTAAGATCTGTGCAAGGAAAGGCATTCTTCTGCAGGATCCTGGGGATGGAATTCTCTCTCAGGATTTCACAGAATTCTTAAAAACTGGTGATTGAGCAAGCTCTTCTTAAACAATACAAAGGCTTGTAATAGTCGGTATACAGAGGATATCATGGTATACTATCACTGTATACTTTCACTAGCTATACTAGGAAAAGGGATATAACACAAAACCAAGGAGCAAATCATGGCTCAAGTTAAAAGTAAGTAAGGATATCATTAAATTTAGACACTGGGGCACAGGTCCAGGGCCTTGCAGTACTGAAGAGCCTGAATGAGTCCCAGAGGCAGGCAGCAAAAATGTACTGAAGAAAAGGCTGAACCAGCCACATATATTAAATCCCAAACTCTCCCAAATGTGAATGACCATCATCTGAACCCTTCAGAGGTTTCCTGGAATACAATGGGACTTTTTGCTTTTTTTTTTTTTAAAGAGACCAGTTCATTGTTCCTGAGGCTAATAAGCAGCTGCATATTACATTAGCTATTGACCTAGAATTTGCCTAGGAAGATGACACTATTTACACAAAAATAAAATTAATGGGTCACCTCATACCATAAGACTTGGTTAGAAGTCCCAAATAGTTTATTTATTTATTAGGGTTTATATGCAGTTTTAATCCAGAAAGACTCTGAGCAGCTTCCATTCCCCTCTTACAGTATGAAAGTTAAAAATCAGAACAAACAACATAATAAATTGCACTTGCAATTATAAAACCTTCAGCACTGAGGAACAATTAAGCATCAAACAAACATACAAACAAAAAGTGCTACACATAATAGTTCCACTCCAGAGCTCTCTTAAAAAGCCAAGTATTAATGGGGGTTTGTCTGATTTTGGGAGATACGCTGTTCCACAGAAGAGGTGGTCCAAATTGAGAAGGCTGTACTCCATGGCCCCTGGAGATGACCATCCCTAAGAGAAGAGAACCAGAGAGCCTACGCTTCCTGATCGTACCACATGGGCAGAAACCACTGGAAGAATGTGGTCCTGTGGATATCCAGGTCCTTTAAACGTGAAAACCAGCATTTTGAATCACACCCAGAAGCCAACTAATAACCAGTGGGGCTCTTGAAGTAGAGAAGTTATATAGATACTTTATATAGAGAGAGAGAGATTTTATCTTTATCTCTCTCTATAGAGAGAGAGAAGTTATATAGATACTTCCATCACTATTTGAGTAGCTGTATTCTAGAACATTTGGAGCTTCTGGAAGATCTTCAAGAACAGTTCAATGTAAAGCTAATTGCAATAATCCAAATGGATGGTGACTAAGATATGAGTGACTGTAAGCAGATCCTCCCAATTCAAGAACTGCCATAACTGTACAAAAGACCTCTTGGACACAGTTGCTACCCACACTTTGAGTAGGAGCTGTGAGTCCAAGAGGACTGCCAGGTTACAAACCAGTTCTGCCCAACTGCAAACCCATCCAGAACCAAATAAGGAATATCCCTAGAAAAAGATGGTTTCCTTACTCACAATCTCCTGGTCTTGCTGGAATTAAGCCTGAGCCTATTCTGCTTCATCCAAACCCTAACAGTCTAGAAATCAGGATAGGATCCCTACCACATCTCCTATTTGGCTCAAAGTCATGATATATAACTGAGTATCATTTACATACTGATGATACCTTACTGCAGGTCAACAGATGGCCTCCCATGGCAGCTTCATGTCAATGTTGAATAAGAGAGGTAGGAGTGCTGGGCCCTGTTGCATCTTACAACAGAGGACTGAAAGTCATAGTCTATCTACCTCACTACCACTGGCTGGAACTTCTTTCTCAGGAAGGAGAGGGCCTCTGTAAAGTAGTGTCTTCCACTCCCAATGCTTCGAAGCAGTCCAGGAGAATAACAATCTCAAAAGCCACTGTGAGATTCAGTAGGACCAGGAGAGCTGAATTAATCCTATCTGGGTAATGCCACAAATCATCCAGGGCTGAAATCTGACTTGGAACGGTTTAGCTAATTTATTTCCTCCAGGTGTCTCAGGTGGATGCAGGTGCATTCACACACAGAGTATGTATAAAATTAAACAGAACATAAATTGGGGAAACTATAAATTTCTTTACATGCTAGATCATGACACACTCATTACACAGAAATCTTACCATATGGTAATATTCAATGACTTGCATGTTAATCAGTTGCTTTAAGGAAACAACCTTAAACAATATGAATTTGTCTGAGTCATAACTATTTTCTCATTCTCTATTAGAAAAATAATACCTCCTACAATCAATGATTTCATATTTTTTCAGATGCCCCTATGCTTTCTGGACATAAAGAGAAATAGCGGTAACTTCTACTTACATGAAACCCCAAGCAACCTTGGTGGTGGAGGAGGAGGAGGTGGTGGTGGTAATGGAGGTGGTCTACATTGGCAGATATGTTGGCAACTATCTATAGTTTTCTCTAGTAGAGGCTTAGAGCATGATTTCTGGAGTTCACCCTGAGTAATCTGCAAAGAAAGAACAACAATTATTCAACTGATTTTCTCTCTTCAACACTTCAGAACTTAAACCACCAGTTCTAAAATGTCTAGTACCTCAGTTAGCAATTCATTCCTTATTTTTGCATACACAGTGTCCGCAAACACACTATGTGAACCTTCTATCCTCTAAATTCAAACAGTGGTTTCCTATTTGCAGGGAAGCAGAACAGCCTCCTTTTCATTTCTTTTTAAAGTCTTCATAGTGTTCCCCAATGTCTCTCCTTGCTTTTATTTCTTAGCATTCAAGAAGTCATTTATACAGTTAGCAACTGGGTAAATGGCAGGCATAGTCCTCTGAACTGAATCAGGATGGGGTTTGGGGTGGGGAATAGATTCTAACTCTTTATGTCCCCTGCTGCCCCAGTCTGGATCAAGCTGTTTGCATTTGCCACTGGGGAAAAAAAAAAAAGAGATCTATTTGCTGCATGGCTTCATATCCAGTTTGGCCCTACATTTTCTGTTGCCCTAACTTTTGGTCTAAAAGTTTTCCCCAATTTTCTTTGCTGTCATTTTATTCTCAGGTTTGCCACCCTAAGTATCTGATGTGATCTACTATCTTTTGAATCTTTCTTTAAAGACCATTCTGTTTTTGTTTAATTCCATACCCCTCATCCTGAAATACAGCCATTTGTGACCTAACCCTAACTCACTGGATTCAAATGCAATACAAATCAGTGCTTTATGTAAACAACTAATAAGAACAACTCTTAAGAGTAAGAACCTGGCTGGTCTAGACTCTAGCAGGGTGTTATGGAAGGCTGAGATCATCCCAGCAATGCCTGCTAGGGATTTCATAGTCCCCATGTCTTAAGATGTCACTGGATCAAACACAAAGAACAGGATATTTTCTTGATCTATTTTTTGCCTTTAAAAAACATGTTTAGATTTTTTTCATAATACAAATTACAAAAAGATTGAAATAACACCTAAATACACCAAAAAAGCACAATTAAATTAAAACCTTATTATCTTTAAACAACAATAATAGAAACAAACAAACAAACAAAAAAAGGTAAAGATTAAAAAGAAAAACCCAAAGTAAAAATAGTTTTGTCTTGCATCATGCAATAGAGGTCTGGTAATGGGGAGGGGGATTTAAAGTTACCCCATTATCATAGTCAGAGCATCATCTGGTGAAATTTTTGTTTCACAGCATTCATTCCTCCTGTGAAAAAGGGAATCCATTAGCAGTGTGGAATACAAATTAATTCTTGCATGGAGGATCAGGGAAATGAGGTGGTGAGATATGGAATGTTGAACCATGGTGAGTAATCACCGATTCATAGAATCATGGCACTGGATTGGGTCATTAGGCCATCAAATCTAACCTTCTGATCAATGGAGGAATTCACATTAAAGCTTCTCAGACAGAGGGCTTGAATACATCCAGTGAAATGTATCTTATTCTTGGTCTGGAAGTTGCAACTAATGAGAAATGTGTATGGAGGTTGTTAAGTGGGGTACCTGGCTATGTACATATTACAAGAGTGTTGAAACTATTATAGTGGCTTCCTATTAGCTATTGAACAAGTGCTCCTGCTTATGGCATACACAGTCCTAAACAGCCAAGACCAGGATAGCTGACATATGACCTTCCCTGTTATATACAGGTAGTGCTCAGGTTATGATGGCAGTTGGGACCAGGGTTGTCATTACTAAGTGATGCAGTTATAAAGTGCAATGTCACATGACTGCATTACTTAGTGACGCCAATCCCGGCAGTCCCGGTTGCCATCATAACCTCAAGACATGTGGGTCATTAAGTGGTAAGAGGGGGCAGTCCCAGGTAAGGAGCATGGGGGTGCTGCCTCAGGAGGATGGGGCAGGCTGGGAGAGGCCCTGGGAGGGCTGGTGTAGGCTGCGTGCTAGCCAGGGGAGTCCAGCGTGGGCTGTGTGTAGGTGGGGGGTGGGGTGCTGCAGGCAGGAGAAAAAGCAGGAGTGACTTACTGGAGCAACTTACAACCTTCCCTGCTGGCTTCCCCATTGACTTTGGTTGCGGGAAGCTGATAGGAAGGTCACAAATGGCGACCATGTGACCGTGGCTCTCTACAATATTGTAATCGTAAGCTGGGCACCCAAGTGCCTGGATTGCAATCACATGACTGTGGGGGTGCTGTGATAGCCAGAACTTTGAGGGCTGGTTGTACGTCCATTTTTTCAGTGCCGCTGTTAATTTTGAATGGTTGCTGAACAAATGGATGTAAGCTGAGGACTACCTGTACCTAGATGATACCTAAAATAATCAGCAGTGGTTCTGGTACTTGAACTACAGCTTGCATGTTACCATGTTATGGTTACTTATAAGCAGGCCTTCTCTGCAGTGGTGCTTACTCTCTGAAATATTCCCTTTTGATACTATTATATTTTTTAGATATATATTGAAGACTTCCCTCTATTCCTTTCCTGTATAAATATTATAGATTCATTCTTTCTTTTTTCCAGCCTGTTTAATATTTTTGTTTTTATATAAACTATTTTAATGTCAATTATTTTTAACTTGTTATGATTGTATTTGTACTTTATATATTTTTCTTATTTATGCACTGCTTTGGTGTTTATATATATACAGAGAGAGAGAGAACACATAAAAACATACTAATAAAATATATATTGTTATTAAAATGTACCATATATACTCACGTATAAGCCCATTTATGGATAAGCCAACTCTTGAATTTTTAACCAAAATACCATGAAAAATGCACCACCCATGGATACGCCGACCTGCATTTTTCATGGTATCTTGATTAAAAATTGGAGGGTCTGCTTATCCATGGATGGGCTTATCCCTGAGTATATACAGGATATAGGGGTACTTTTAAAAAGTATATTAGTGAATAACCCCATCTGTGGATAAGCCAAACCCAATTTTTGGGGTGTATTTTGGCACCTAAAATTCTTGGCTTATCCACAAGTATATATGATAAATAAAAAGTACATTTTAATAAAAGTACATACCAAAAGTTAATAGGCCCTATTTTAAAGGGTCTTTAAAGGTTACTTTAGGGTTACTAAAGGGTTACTGTAGGGTTACTTCTCAGTCAACAATATTTCACCTAAACAATGCTTGTTGTAACACATTCATATATCACCTAAAAAGGAATGAAAAATGCTTTCCCCCATACTATTCTATGAGTATACGTTCTTAGCAATAATTTAACCAAAATTCACACCATAAATCAACTGACATTTTGTAAGTCAGATGGCAAATTTATGGCAGAACTCCAGAATCTAGTCCTATACACTCCTAAGATTATTTTGCTTGTTTGTATGCATTTGCATATATAAATAACTTTTTTAGAAGATGTACAATTGATTAGTATTGATTTCATTGCCAAGAGGATTACTTGGCCATTCCAGATACAGAGCCTACTCCAAACTCCCAGCCAATGACAATTTGAAGGATACCACTCTGGGGAAGGCTTTTGTCAATCATCACTCTTTTGGGAAAAGAGGCAATGGCAACACAAAGAAAGCCACAATGGGTATACAACTTTCAGCAGGCAGGGCTTCCTGAAAGTAGGACAAGAAGCACAAGGCACATTCATAAAATCTCCGATAACAACGGATCTTAACTTCATGCAGGGTCAATCAAGCCTGCATACCTATATCCACTTCCCTGGGAGTAAAACTCATTAAATTTAAATGAAAAACTTTGAATCAACATGTTTAGGAACATAATGTAAAGATCACATGATAATGGGCTTAAGGCTCATCTAACTTTCTATAGTTTACAATCGATAGCTAAAGTAGTTTATGCATGTGCTGCTAAAGTTTATGCTATACCAATTACCAAGCATTTGTATGTTAGTAAACTGAAGTATGAAACTAATCTCAATAGGAGATAGACACACACATACATATCAATTTAAACCAAAATTAGTAGAAAACATGAAGAATATTAGCAGTCACTCCTGTGGTCATTTTAGTTAGCTGGTTATATAATTATTATATAATGTTAATCTGCTGAAGAGGAACCATTGTGATTTCTTTGACTTCACTGCTAACAGTAACAAAATTATATATACAGCAGTACATTCGTCTATTCACGAAGGAGAAAAAAGAAAGAACACCTAACAAATCCACTAGTACAATGCAAATCATCACATGGCCAGATGCAAGAATTTAAAGCTTTCTTTCTTTGATCCCTTGGAGGTAGCATTTTGTATCTTAAGTACCTGAGGGAAAATAGGCATTTTTTTTAATGGCCATGCTTAGCTGAACTACAAAGAATCTCAAAACCCCACATGTAAAAATCTTCAGTGCTTTAAATAGCATATTAAGGCCTATTACTAAACACAGGGAAACCAAATTTATTCATAAAGAGTGTGCCAGCCCTTCTCTTAAGGTAAATAAAAAAGTCATTTCATTAGGGAGCCCTCAAGAACTCTGAAGGACTGTTTGAATATTGTCAGTATACTATTGTTCATCTCTTAATCAGGATAAAAAAAAAATAGGAAAAGCCACACACTCATCTCAGGTATTTTACTGTTAATTTTAACCATACTTCAGGGGTATACCTACACAATGCTCATTTACAGCAATAATCCCACCATACTTAAGGAATTTGTAGGGTGGCAGAGACTCTTGAAAACAGAGAGGTGGCAAGCTAAGTAGCAGATACCCAAAAGCAAATGCTGAGCTCTCCAAAGGTATAGATCAGTGTTTCTCAACTTCAGCAACTTTAAGATGTGTGGACTTGTAGGTGTGGCTGGGTAATTCTGGGAGTTGAAGTCCACACATCTTAAAGCTGCTGAGGTTGAGAAACAATGGTGTAGAGAACCTGGTGGTGTTTCTTCTCCCCAGTCCCTCAAGCACTCAGGGACGTGGTTGAAAAGAACGACAGACTCAGTGGCTTAACTAAGGAGGTAAACCATGCCAGAAGCAGCAGCTTAAGTCTTTTACTGCTGCTCTCTCACCAAAATCTCAAAAGGCTCTCCAGCTTCAGCTATAGCTATGGAGGCTAC